CGTTTTTATTTTCATGTTTGGCGGGGCGCGGCTTTCGAGGCAGGGTACGCCATCGTTGTGATCATCACAACAGGGGGTCGTATTTGACCTCGAGGGAGGGGGGTCGTAAGCGCGGGGACCTTTCTGAAGTGAGGGTGCAGCGATACCCAGCTGTCGTTCAGCTTCAATGATGAAAGACTTATCCATGTGAAGGACCTCTGAAGAGACCCACACAATACAGAAGCAACCTGCCAGCGCAGAAATGGGGAACGGGCGATGACAGGGAATATGATGGCCTCCCACAACGACGTCATGAATTAATATCAAAAGATAAAGGATAAAGTCTCCGCCGTTGATCAACCCCTTTGTGGGATGCACGCATTCTACTTCCATTCAGAATCGCAGTGGCTTATTGAATGCGATGTGGCCTATACAATGACTTGCGGTGGCCAGCCGATGTACAAATCAGTGTTTTATCCTCCCAGACGAATCTGGTACCATCTTACCGTCCCCGGAGGGTAGAAGGCTTGGTTGGCCTAGGCGAAAGTCGACCCGGGATTTGAACCCGGCATCGCGCGAGTGGTAAGCGCGCCACTTGTCACTACACCACCCCGCGCCAATGAATATCCGCCATGAACTAGTGAACAGATGAAAATACACTTCCGAGCCTTTCTGACCGTGCAAGCACATCTACCTGCACGAAGGAAGCCCTTTCTAGAAGTTGCACCTTCCCAATAGCTCTGCGTGAAAGCGCTATGCATGGCGCAATGCAGAGGTGATGCCAATTGGCGTCCAATGAACTATTTCCTGGTATCCTTGGCAAAAACATGCGTTTTAGAAGCATACCAATGTCTTAAAGCCAACTGGAGATTTTCTGGCGTCGGGTTGATTTTTCGGGCCGTGGGGGAGTGATTTTTCTATGATCACAACGAATAGCAGGCCTAGGGATAAAATGAAAGTTCTGCTGGAAAGTAGAAAGCTTCGCGCTTCCGGCACAGTTCTTTTTTTACGAAAGGCCGTGTATGAAGCTTGCCATGGATGTCCAAAGCGTAGCGACTTGTGGTTGGCCCCCCCCCCATGATCACGCGAGGGTCACAACGGGGAAAATTTCTAGAAAAGAAATGTTTTTGAAATCGCTCAATTCAGGTAACAAGAGCCAACCTAGCTCCACTCATTCCCACTTTCCCTCTCCGAGAGCTTTACTTTCAACGAAGTTATGGGTGTTCAAAAGAGGGGTACTTTTCGAGTGTTTGGCTTGAAATTGGCTCCAGGTCGTAAAATAGCGCGCACCAATGCGCTTGTATTAGCGCGTGTATTAGGGCTCGCGTGCGGATGACCGCGAACAACTAATATTCAAAAACTAATGCATAGTTCCTAGTATCTGGTGAGTTTTGTTTTAATTTTAGATCTCTTTTTTTTTTCTAGTAGTTTTTAAGGTTGTATTGTTGTAGTATTTGGCATTATCGAACTACTCCTACCCCAGTCTGCCGAAATCAGGCCAATTTTTATCGATTTTTTTTCTAGAGGGGCAGATTTGGATGGAAATTTGTTACAGTGGTACTTCGACCTCCTGAACACGAATATCACACCCGCTTTGCCCAAAACTTTTCATCGATTTTGGTGATTTAGGGTATTTTGGCGCCGCGCCACAGGCGCCGGGGCCAAAATACCCTGAATCACCAAAATCGATGAAAACTTGTATACGGGGGTTATTTGACATCCTGATTACGAATATGATATTTATTCTTGGCGCCAGCGCTAACGTAGGACACTATGGTCATCTGCGCTTTGCTAAGACTGACCTGCGGGAAATCTTCCCTTTTTCTCAGTTTCAGCCTCAGCAGAGTGCCAAATAGCGCTGGTATGGAAAATGATGTCAGACTCGTGATCAGGACATCGAATAACATCTATAGACAAAGATTTTTTGAGTTTTTGGCGTAGGAATAGTTCAATAGCGCCCAGTTCTCTTTATTGTCATTTTCTTCGTCCCTTTTGCGCTTCTTTTCATTTGTACCCTCGTGACAGGGGGGGTCGTAATTAGCGGGAAATGATCACAACGCAATGGCGTGCCCTGTTGCGAGGGAGATTGCAAAGCAGCACAGTTGCTCTGAGTTCTGCCCTCGTCATCACCTTCGATTCGGACTTTGCAGCATGAGCAACACCTCAAATGTTATCCGCATCAGGAGTTTGCATTTTAATTGTATTCCAAAGCGCAATTACAAGACTTGGCAAAGTGCCAGGAGCGCTGCGCGCGACACGCGGCCGCGCGGCCGCGGTCAGTAAGAATGGCATCGAGAGTCTGCGTCGCAAGTTGGGCGGAGCATAGAGGAATTAGCCTATCCACGGTCCTGGATCCCCATCCCCGCGCATGTTCGGACGGGGAAACCGCTACGCTTCGACAGCTGGGGCCCCGTTATCCCCGGACATGCTAAGGACAGCTGAGCGTACGTTGTGTCTTTAAACCGAGTTTCCCGAAAGCAATAGTTGCTTCTATTTCTCAGGATTCCGTTTAGTGGGCACCATTCCACTATAACCTGTATCACCTGTGCTCCCGTTGATCAAAAAGTTGCTCGAGAGGGCGCCAGTAACGCCTCCGTTCGTCCAACGTGCAAGAGTTGCCCAATGGGTTCTCTCTGCTCGAGGGACACGATGAACATTCACACCGTTTGTTCAGAGCTTTCAGGAAAAAGTCGCGCGTGGGCGGTCGTCCAGGTTCCTTGACATCCCGTGGAATCCAGTCGGTGATCGCTCTGGTCCAGCGGTCGTCCTCGAAACGCATGACGTGCCCGGCCCACCTGATCTTCGAAACCTTGGCAAATGCGGCGGCGTCTCTGATCTTCGATCGTCGGCGGAGTGCGGAGCTCCGGACTTCCCTCTCTCACTTGCGTGTACGTTGAATGACGCTAACCGCATGCTCATCCTGCTTTCGTGGAGTCCACGTCTCTGAGGCGTAAGTCAAAGAAGGGAGTACCCCAAGGTCGATGGGGCCCGGAGCTTGGTATTCTGGAGTAATTCAGCTATTACTACTCCAAAAACTCTAGGAACGTTTCCGCTGAACCCTGCGCACAAATACGCCATTTGGCGGCACCACCTAACCCATCAAAATCGATGAAAACTTGCGAGTTGTTTTGACATTCTAATCACGAACATGATATTCATTTTTAGCGCTGGCACCAATTAGCCCTAATAGGCGAAATCTGGCGCCATCGCCTTTCACACCAAAATAGATACAAACTTGTATACGGAGACATCTAGTGACATTCATTCTTGACGCGGGCACCAATGTAGGGCGCTCTGCAAAGGCTGAGCCTGGCGGGAAGGGAATAACTCCCCTCCCAGGCTCAGCCTTTGCAGAGCGCTGCATTGCGCTGGTACGGAGAATAAATGTTATTTTCGTGATCTGTTTATCACAGGGCACATCATTGGTTGGGGATTTCGGTCGAGTGCCTGGAACCCCCCCCCCTTTTTTTTGGGAGGGGGGGGGGCTGACAGGACTCCCCCTCTTGATACGACCCCCACTTCCTCCACCATCCTCACCACTTTCCTCGGTTTTTCCAACTTCATACAACTTTTTCCGGAATCGGAATTTCCCGGAAAATTTCCGACTTTTACCCAAAAATTTTGCTTTCGAGCGGGAGGGGGGATGGAGAATCTTTCTCACCTTAAATACGACCCTCCCCCTCCCAGCGACCAAATACGATCCCCTGTCGGGGAATCCTCAACAACGATGTACCCCGGTTCATCAGCCAGCACTATGTATTATGAAAGTTTTCATAGATGTTGGTGAGATATGTGATCGCATCGAATCGAGGCCCTTTGGCGCGAAGGGGCGCCAGCGTCAAAAGTGAAGGTCATAACCGCGATCAGCACCCCGAAAAACATCTATAGGCAGAGCTTCGGCGAAAAAGAAACACTTTCGAGTTTTTGTGGTAATAGTACCTTTTAGTGTTCGCGCGCACTACGATCGCGATGTGGCGAGGGCGTATGTATTAGGTTGTTCGGAAAGAAATGCGCGTTGAATTTGTCCATTTATTTCTCTCCTACTGCAGAAGATTTTTAAACAGTTTTGCCTGTTAGAATGAGATTTTATTTTTCATCTTTTGATATATTTTTGTCTACGTCTACTTTCTTTTTTTTTTAAAGAAAAAAGTTACTTCTTCTCTCTTCTTACTGCGTCGTCAAGGTGTCGAAACGACGTCGACAAAACTCCTCCACGACAACGCTCGTCCACATGTCGCGAAAATCACTTTGGAAAAAACTGAGGAATGAAACTGGCACCATCCGATTACCATCTGTTCCGGTCGATGCAGCACTCCCTGGCCGAGAGAAAGTTCACAAACCGCGAAGAAGTCCAACTCTGGGTGTCCAACTACTTTGAGTCGCAGCCGGCCGAGTTCTTCGAAAGAGGAATCCATTCTTTGCATAAACGTTGGCAACAAGTCATTGATAGTAATGGAGATTATCTTTTGAATTAATCTTGTTTAATTTCGTTTTTATAATAAAAAATTTTTAAACTCAAACGCGCATTTCTTTCCGAACAACCTAACTGAAGCGGACTTATCAGACTTCAAGGTTGTTCCACTAAGAAGGCCAGAAGAGTGCGATAAAAGCCATGACCATGAATCCCATTAGGTCCCCTCACAGTACAACAGATGGATCCGAGGTTCTTCGACATGACATTAATGAAGAAGAGGGAGTGCACGCACGCCCACTGACTCTAATGTCCTATTGCGTGTTGTCGATTACTACTATTTAGATATCTTTATATCAGAATCTTTTTAAATACAATCGAAACAAAAACAAACCGGTTCAATTACACAACAAGATCATTCAGCCGGGAAACCGTGGAAACGACTTACTGTGGTTGCAATCGCTCCTCGAAGATCATACGTATCAGCGACTACCACAGCTACTGATTAAAGTACCAAATAGTAGTGTACAACAACGACAAAAACCTATCAGTAAGTAAGATGAAAGTCAAGATCAACAAAATCACGCAGTAGAAAACTTTTGCATCATATTCACGAATCCGCTGCCACAGTCGCTGGCTCATCCTTCTTTTCTTCAAATGGGCTTTGCTTGGTTTCAACCTGTGAGTGAACAAAAAGCGGTGCACTTCAACATGGTCTAGAACTCCCGCCGCCAACGTAGTTAGAACACCATCGGTAAGTGGGGAGGGGAGGAGGCACACAGCAGAGCGACGATGCCTGCTCTACTAGACAAAGGGCGACGACCCTGGCCGTTTGCGCAGTGCTAAGCCTGAGCCTTGGCTGGAGAAAGGGAAGTAGCGGCGCTGCTGCGTGCCCCACACCCCCTCCCCTCCCCAAACTACGTTAGCAACGAAATTTCCTTACCTACTCGTAAGAAAAAAAATAAATACTCTAAAAGCTAACCTTTGGATCATCCGAGATTTTCGAGAAAAGGTTCTTGTACCTCTTCTTGTCACGCTCCAGTTGTTCTTTCATCATCTGACGAACGACGAGGATCTGTTGAGCTGCAGCCTGCACATGCACATTTTTAGAAGTAGTGCTCGAAAAAATATAATACTTAGAGACCAATAATCTGCCTTATTCTCGGGATCGATCTCTAAGATCTTCTCATAGATCTGCTTTGCCTCCTCAAAATCAGATAGAGCTGCTCGTGCGCCAGCTTTTCGATAAAGAGCTTTCACGTTGATTGGTGACAATTCTAGCGCCTTAAAAACACGTTCTTGAAAGAAAAAAAAGCCATACGATAGAAACGATAAACACACCTTATCGCAATACTTGATACAATCCACATTTTCACCCATTTTCGATGCTGTCAATGAAAGATTCAAATAAGCGGCGAGCATCAAATCGTCACGAATCTGAAATGTGAGGGGATATTTACAGGAGGGAACTCAAACAATCCAACGAATGCTAGGAGGAAAAAGATGGCAATTTTTGCCACATCACACCAGTCCTTAACTCCTAGGAGAATATGCCTAGCCTGCAGTGCTTCTCCAGTGAAGGGATCCCTGAAGAAGCATTCCATCTACAAAAGAAGGATGCAGGAAAGATGAAAATTACTTCACTCCATAGTGGTTTCAGAAAGAGTATCCACAAAACAAAGGGGTGGGGGTGGGGGAGGGTGAGAACTCCACTCGTTTTTGTAGATGTAGGGAAAACCATCACAGGATCGAAAAGAATTGTGGAGAACTCCTTCCAATCCCTACAGCGAAATGTCCAGCAACGGTTCGCTGACCTCATCAAACACAACGTGGCCCTACAGAGTTCTCCCTCGGAGGTTTTTCCGTGAGGAGATTCTAGACCGCCTTAGAAGGGCAGAAGTGCTCCCCGAAAATCAAAAATTAAGCCGCTCTGCAAGGCGTGCTGCTGGAAAAGACTGCACAAGGAACCAACAGGTCGATCCGACCGGTTTGCAATAAGATGTAATATAGATGGACGTAACCTTGAGTCGTTGTAACTCGAAGCTAGCCTCCCGGAAATTGCGGAAGCTGATTCTCTGAAGGGACGTTGCGGACGCACATTCGCACAAGTCGAAGTATAAACGCGGCAATGTGCCGAGCGCCTGGTGTGCCAGGTGGAATAAGGCATTGTTAGAGGAAATATTAGTTGTCCGGAAAGGAATGCGCGTTGAATTTTTTGAACTTGTCCATTTTTTTCTCTCCTACTATAGAAGATTTTTGGAGACAGTTTTGTCTATTAGAAAGAGATTTTTATTGTGCTTCTTTTGATATATTTTTGCATAGCATGTCTACTTTGCTTTTTTTGGGGAAAAAAGTTGGGAAGAGCGGGTGCCGCACCAGCTGAGCGACGCAAACAAGGCAACACGAGTGGCAATGGCCGGAATTCTTCTTCGTCGCTCCAAGAACAGCGGTTTTTTCGACTCTATTATTACATCAAATGAGAAAAGGGTCTGCTTCGATAACCGAAAAGGAGCGTGGTTTAGAACTCCAGTGACCCTTACCAAGAGAGCGGACCCGGACTTTCGCGGCAAAAAGTGATTCGCCCGTGTTGGTGGAATAACAAAGGTTTGTGTCTTTGAGTTCCGGAATCGGGTCCGGTTACCGCGCGGACATCTGCAACACCCAGTTTGAAACCAGCATGATCCAAACACTCGCCGGCCGTGTGAGCGTCTTCAAGTGTATGAACGTCGAGCAAAAGATTCTTATCCAGCGAGCAACGCCTCATCCCACAAATGTGGCGAAAATCACTGTAGAAAAATAATTGAGGAATTGGGCCATTGGAAAGTCCTCGGCCTCACTTGCCCGCCACCAGACTCGAGGAAACCTGGCACATCGATTACCAACTGTTGCGGGCCGAAAGATAAATTCACGAAACCGGCGAACAAAAGGTCCAACCTCTAGGGTGTCAACTTTCTTTGATTCGCACCGGCTCGAGGTATCGTTCAAAGAGGAATACAATTTTTGATCAAGATGTTGACAACAGTCATTTGATACTAATGGAGATTGTCTTTTGAATTTATCTTGTTTAATTTCGTTTTATAATAAAAAAATTTTTAAGCTCGAACGCGCATTCCTTTCCGGACAACCTAATAGTCGCATGTTTGGAATCCTTGACCCTTGCAAGTTTTTGCATTTCTTCGGAGCACCTCATATGAGCCCCGAAAACACTTCCGTTCAGCTAATTTACCTAATTCTTTATAATTTATTTACATTAGGAGGGCAAATACTCTGCCTTTATCCTGAATTGAGAATTTTCGATACGGAGAATGTCATGTTACCAGAACCGCGTAATGATGAAATAAAGGTTCTTATCGTCTCTAACGGGTGAAGCACCATGTGGTATTACTTACACGAATTGATGGAAAGAGAGGTGCGCGCGAGCGAGAGGGTGGAGTATTTGCGAGTAGAGAAGATACTTAATACACGGTCATGTATAGTTTGCCAGCCATGGGGCCGTCCAGAGGGGATAAGCAACACTAAAGACGGTGTATCGTACTATGCACGCTGGGTGTGCTCAGAGAACGACAGTCATCATGGCCAGCCCATATTCAGGGCCGTACTTAAGGATAAGGATATTTAAGTTTTTGAACATTTGAGGGTGAGCAGAAGCTGAGGATAGACAGGAAGACAGAATAGAAGATCGGCCTTGAATTAACTATTTGGCAAGAAGTTGTAGTTATAGTATAGACGTCCGCATGCTTGAAGAGCCATCTATTCGCATAGTGCTCATGGTGGAGGATTTGGTTTTGTTTTTGTCACTTTTGTGGGATATCGTCATGTGCATAATGCGAGACCACTTTATTCTCTTATATGCGCAAGCGAGTTCTATATGGCCAGAGTACTCGGCCATACGTGGCGCATAAAAATTTAAAGACAACCAGTAAGTGGGAATTGCCCGCCCTCTCTGCTCGAAGACATCGACTTGAATAGCGTAAATTAGCTAAATGAATGTTTTCGCGGCTCCATATTGAATCCTTCGAACACACAAGCAAACATTTGCAACACAGTCAGGACTCCACATGTGCCTCTCACCCTCTGAAGCAAAGCGCTTTCCACGTAACAGCACACGTGTGCTCGGCAGTGCTAAGTTATTGGCTTTCGAACTTGATGCGAACAGATGCAAAGAAATAAATGGCCATAACTCGTTCGGCAACTATTTCCGTAAATTTCATATGCGGCAGATTTGCCATTCCCGCGAGCCCAAGGCATATCCAGCTATATACATCTCATTGTCAAAATGACCAGGATCGAACCTGTTGGGGTTCCCTTGTCAGTAAACTTCTGGAGGAATTGCGTGAGGGTTGAGAGCAATAATTTGATGCTGATATGGCACTGAAATTTTATAACATCAGTCAAATTTTGGGCCTGCACTTGTGCGCAGACGCTTATCGTTCACCGCGCCCTTAGCAGCGGTTTAGCCTTCGCGATTGAACGGGACGCGTCGATGCACTGTACAAAGCTATGCGCCGCGATGAAATGCTGTTATGCAACAGCCTCCAGAAACTAGAGACGCGAATCGCAGGGCCGAAGGGGTGGGAATCTGTGGGCGCCGCCCGTGTTGCCTGAAACGAGTATGGAGGAATAGAAATAGTAGAGTGCTGAGCCTCTAGCACAAACGGCTATGGATCTACAAGTCGCCCGTCCCGACAAGTGGCCCTACAATTTCGGATTTTCCGTGAGGAGATTCTAGACGCGGCCTTGAAGGGAAGAAGTGCTCCTCGAAATCAAAAATTAAGCGCTACTCAAGGCGTGCCTCTGGAAAGCTCACAAGGGAACCCCAACAGGTCGATCCGACCGTTTGCAATAAGATGTATATAGATGGACGTACCTTGAGTCGTTGAACTCGAAGCTAGCCTCCCGAAATTTGCGAACTGATTCTCTGAAGGGACGTTGCGGACGCAACAATTCGACAAGTTCGAAGTATACACGCGGCAATGTGCCGAGCGGCTGTGTGCAGGTGTGAATAAGGCCTTGTTAGGGAACAATATTAGGTTGTCCGGAAAGGAATGCGCGTTGAATTTTTTGAACTTGTCCATTTTTTTCTCTCCTACTATAGAAGATTTTTGGAGACAGTTTTGTCTATTAGAAAGAGATTTTTATTGTGCTTCTTTTGATATATTTTGTCCATGTCTACTTTCTCTTTTTTGGGGAAAAGATTAGGGAGAGGGTGCTGCACAGCTGAGGGCGACGCAAACAAGGCAACGCGAGTGGCAATGGCCGGAATTCTTCTTCGTCGCTCGAAGAACAGCGGTTTTTTCGACTCTATTATTACATCAAATGAGAAAGGTCTGCTTCGATCGCCGAGAAAGGAGGCGTGGTTTAGACTCCAGTGACCCTACCAAAACGGACTCCGAAACCTGATATACGCGGCAAAAAGGTGATGCTCCGTGTTTGGTGGAATAGCAAAGGTTTGATGTACTTTGAAGTTCCGGAATCGGGTCAGACGGTTACGGCGGACATCTGCAAACACCAGTTGAACCGCATGGATCCAGCACTGCGTCTGAGCGTCTTCAAGTGTATGACGTCGAGCAAAAGATTCTTATCCAGCGACAAAGCTCATTCCCACAAATGTGGCGAAAATCACTGTAGAAAAATAATTGAGGAATTGGGCCATGGAAAGTCGCTCGGCTACTTCCGCCACCAGACTTGAGAACGCTGCGGCACCATCGATTACCAACTGTTGCGGCGCAGAAAGATAAATTCACAAACGCGGGAAAAAGGTCCAACCTCTAGGGTTGTCCAACTTCTTTGAGTCGCAGCCGGTCGAGTTCTTCAGAGAGAGGAATCCATTTTTTGCATAAATGTTGACAACAAGTCATTGATACTAATGGAGATTGTCTTTTGAATTTATCTTGTTTAATTTCGTTTTTATAATAAAAAATTTTTTAAGCTCGAACGCGCATTCCTTTCCGGACAACCTAATAGGTCGCATGTTGGAATCCTTGACCCTTGCAAGTTTTTGCTTTTCTTCGAAGCACCTCATATGAGCCCCGAAAACACTTCTGTTCAGCTAATTTACCTAATTCTTTAATTATTGACAATTAGGAGGGAGCAAACTCTCCTTTTTGTTCCTATTGAGAATTTTCGATATGAGGATGTCATGTTACCAGAAGCTGCGTGAAGAAATAAGGTTCTTATCGTTCAAAAGCACATGTGGTATTCTTCCACGAATTGATGGAACCAAGTTCCCACAATGAGCACTGCGAGTAGAGAAGTACTTAACACACGGTCATGTTGTAGTTTGCCCATGGGGCCGTCCAGGACGGGATAAGCAACACTAAAACGAGTGTATCGTACTATGCAGCTGGGTGTGCTCAGAACGACAGTATCATCCACCAATTAGGCCGTAAAGTGATAACGGAATTAAGTTTTTGAACACTATAGGTGAGCAGAAGCTGAGGAAGACAGAAGACGTAGAATAGAATGGCCTTGAATTAATATTTGAAGAGTTGTAGTTATAGTAGACGCCATGCTTGAGAGCCATGCTATTCGCATAGTGCTCATCGCTGAGATTTGGTTTTGTTTTTGTCACTTTTGTGGGATATCGTCATGGCTAATGTGAGACACTCATTCTCTTTATGCGCAAGCGTTCTATATGGCCAGAGTATCGCCTCTGATAAAAATTTAAAGACAACCAGTAAGTGTGAATTCCGGGCCTTCTCTGTCGAGATCGACTGAATAGGCTAAATTAGCTAAATGAAGTGTTTTCGCGGCTCATATGAATTGATTCGAACAAAAGCAAAATTTGCAACAGTCAGGAACTCCAACATGTGACCTCCACCCTCTGAAGCAAAGCGCTTATCCACTACAGCAACCGTGTGCTCGGCACTGCTAAGTTATGCTTTCGAACTTGTGCGAACAATGCAAAGAAATAAATGGCTATAACTCCGTTCGCAAACCTTTCCGTAAATTTCATGGGCAGATTTGCATCCGGCGACCCAAGGCAGTTCCAGCTATATACATCTCATTGCAAATGACCGGATCGACCTGTTGGGGTTCCCTTGTCAGTAAACTTCTGGAGGAATTGCGTGAGGGTTGAGAGCAATAATTTGATGCTGATATGGCACTGAAATTTTATAACATTCAGTCAAATTTTGGCCTCACTTGTGGCAGACGCTTATCGTTCACCGCGCCTTAGCAGCGTTTAGACTTTCGCGATTGACGACGCGTCGATGCATGTAAAAGCTATGCGCCGCGATGAAAGGCTGTTATTGCAACAGCCCTGCCAAAGCTAGAGACGCGAAATCGCGGGCCGAAGGTGGGGATCCATGGATACCGCCCGTGTTGCCTGAAAGAGTATGGAGGAATAGAATAGTAGATGCTGCCTAGTCACACAAACGGCATGGATCGACAGTGGCCGTCTTCGGCCGCGTTCACGTCTGCAGACGGTGCTGCAATTGTAGCGCGTCGACGCGCGTTGCAGCGCATCCCGCAAAGTTTGAAGGCTGCCCTAGAAAGCGATGCAATCCTATACACACGATTATGGACCGTTGTCGCCATTCTTGTAGAAAACAATCCCAATGAAAAAGTATCAACAGATCATAGGCGCGCTCCAGTGCTCATATTGCACGGATGTGGGCTTTGAATTTCTAGGCAATGCACTAGTCGAGGGAAAAACTGCGGAAAAAGCTAGAGAACCAAACAAATGACATATTCTTGCTAAAAAATGTACCCTCTTCTGATCAACATCCATACTCTTCTCGAACTCCAGAATGTCTTCGATTCGCTTGTATTTGTTATACGCCAGCTTGAGCTTGTTTTGCTTCAGGAATGCTGTTCCACGTTCCTTCGCCAAGGCGGCCTCTTCGAGTTTTTTGTCCGCCGTCATCTCCCAAAGAGCAGGCACCTAAGTGCAAGAAAATTGAAGCTCAGGAATGTGAAAAGAAAATTCCAAACACACCTTCTCATAACTCTTCAAAAATATTGTGAATTCAATTGTGGCATTTGCAGGTAAATTATATTCCGGAGGAGGATTGGGTCCGTAAGTAAACCTGAAAAAGAGCAAGTGACACATTATGAAAAAGCAAATAAAACAAAAAGAGAAAAGCAATCATGACATAGCTCTACAGAGCACTCTAGAAACGTGTATCTCACCTTGTCCCACTGAGGCGAATTGTAGATTTTTCTCCACGACAGAAACGGCGCAAAGCTCGGTCAACACCCTCAGGAAGTCCCACCTGGAAAACTGTGTGCACTGCTGAATGAAGACCAAGGGATACGACTTTAAGGATACTTTAGGGATACTCTACTTTTTCTGAGGACACAGAGGAACACAAGAAGTGAGCATACATCCCATCCTAAAACCCATAAAAAAATCACTTTTATCGAATAAGACGGCCGGTTATTTCAAAACTCATTTGGGAACCGAGGTGTAGCAAATGACTATGCTAGGGACGAAGAAAGATCTGTTGATGAATGGGTCGTTTAAATAAAGGATATTACTAGGTAATCACATTATGTTCCAAAACCATGCAACAAAGCAAAATCAGTAAAGCAAAAAAAAAGTTCGGAAACGCCCTAATTAAGACACCTATAACTCTGAGCACTGTACGAGAACACGGCGAATAGTGAGCGTACCCGGATGTGTTCTTGCTTCTTGATATAATGACAATATTAACTCTTCTCTCTTTATTACTAGATTCCCTATTGATTCATTTTATTTCTGTCTCATTAAGTGCACAATGTGCGGGAACTTGTGTCTAGGGAGGGCTGCACTCCACATCAAAAGCCTCTGGAGCTCTTTCCACGATATCGCTTGACGGAGGAGTCACACCAACTGTAGAATCGCGCTTTCTTTATGAGGGAGGAGTTTATCGACCAGGTATTCTTACTTTCCGACTCAAATGTTCAGACCCACAGAGCGAAGAAACGCTACTTCTCTAATGCTCGATTACTTCTGCCAAACGAGGTTTTTAGATGAACCCTTTCATTGGCCTGACGTTTCGACCTTCTCGTCTTCTTCAGAGGCCTGAAAATGGCTCGAAGCTATTTGTCACCTAACCGACCAAGCGCCTTCCCCACTCCAGCGTTTTGTTCCGAACTCCTCTGAAGACCCGGTAATAAGTACGAACTATTCACCGAGGTTCCACCGTGTGGAGCCTAGGAAATAAATAGTTCGTACTTATTACTGAGTCTTTCAGAGGAGTGTCTGTGTTTGTGCAGGAACGGATGAGTAAGGATGTCACTAACAGTCTCGTCGTGATCACACAAGTCATTTTTGTGATTTATGTGACAATTTACACAGCCACAGTTTCGGTTTATGTGACACGATGATACTTAGTGAGTCATTCGTCTTTGCTTATCCTACTGACACATAGCGTGAGCTAGGCTCCGCACGGTGGGACCTCGGTGAGTAGTTCGCAGTTATTAGCAAGTTTCTCAGGGGCCGGGACACGACGTCGGAAATGCTAGAGGGGGGAAAGGCGCTTGGTCGGGCAGGTGACAAATTAAAAGCTTCGAGGCAGCCGAGGCCTCTGAAGAAGACGAGGAGCTCGAAACCTCAGCCCTAAAAAGGTATCCAACAGCACCGCTTGGCGGAAGTAATTAAGCATTCGACATCATGCCGAGTTTACAAGGAGGGACAACTTGGAGCCATTTCTCTGATTTCTCAACTCCTCTCTTACTCTCCCATTTGTTCTGTTTTATAATGTGTGAGAAGCATCAACTGAAAATAATCACCTCAGATCCTTCTCCGAGAATGAATGTGACTTCCTTGTCATAGAATACTCGGCCTTCAAATGAGCCAACCGCGTGCACTGAAATCATTTGAATTAAGCATTAGAACTACTATTATAATCATGACTGCAGCGTTGCGCAGGTTTCGATGCTCGTCCCTGTCCCACTTTGCCATCCTCTTGTGCATCTTTAAAACTACAAATACTAGCCGCCAAGTACGAGTTCGGTCGCTAATCCACGTCTGCCGCTGACATTTTGCAGTGATTTATGCAGGAGCACATTGTGTGTCCCAGCCTAGATTTCGAAGTGTTGCAGACATTCGTATGGAAACCAGCGCATGGGGGATAGATAGTAACCCAATCAATTCCTGGCAAGATACAATAGACTCCTCTGCTCCTTCACTAAAGCCTGCCTCATGGGGAAGCGAATATTATAGTAGAACGAATGTCGCTGTCACTCAAAGATATGCTAGGTGAACCATCCAAGTCAGACAAACTATACACTCCTTTCTGTGTATCCTCGTCCCTGTTAAAGGTGAACTGCTCAGTAGCATGCCACTTTCTCCACTCAGCGGTGCACGGAACTACTGAGGCCCGAGGGTAGTGATACTCGGATGGAGGCCTCCCGACTCCGCACGCGCTGCCAATCAGTCGCAAGCCTAATCATAGCCAAACGCGTTATTTGTCTGGTATCTTTCACACATGGTTGTTCCCCACTGCTCAAAGGGTGTTTCGCTGCGAGCCTTTGGTAACGACGTGTTCTGCACATAGAGAATATCACAGGTGAAGTAAGGAGACGGCAACTGGGAGAGAATATCACAGGTGAAGTAAGGAGACGGTAACTGGACATCACTGACCTCCAGGCCATTCCCGGAAACTTTTCAGCGGAGAAAAAGGCGCGCTTTTGCAGCTGCCGACCGATACACCTCATACATGGCAAGAAATGTCTCAGGAGGTAAATATAGAGCTTTCCTTCACCTAAATCTTTAACGCCTTTTGAATACCTCGGACTATTTGACCCGGCACTAAACGCTTTACAATATAACTATTCAATGCCGAGCAGTTCCTCCCTCCCAGGAACTAGTAACCATTCGTTATAGGAAAAAACATCCCATCTTCAGGTTTACTACCACACCTTACACTCGTCAAATTGTGCAGCTCCTAGTGCGACGATACAGCTCAGTTCAGTGGACAGCCCTACGTGCAGAATATCAAAGCTAACCTTCAACGGGACTTGTTTCATTTGGATTAGCCAGTTTTTCTCCTTCAACAATAACTGAACGAGTGATTGTTCCATCACGATTTGGTGAAATGTCTTCAGCTTGCCAGTCGATGAGCTCCACCTGGTGTTATCAAAAATCTTCGATAAGTTGCAATACAATGATTGTGCATTAATACACACCTCAAAATTCAAAGTAGCATTAGGCGGAATTTTCGGCATGCTTCCACTTTCTCCATATCCATAGTCTGACCGGATTCTGAAGTCCGCTATCTCACCTTTTTTCATTGTAGCCACACCAAGATCCCATCCTTTGATAACCTGAACATCACAGAATAAAAATAAATTAATGAAATGAAATATAAAAGGCGGAAACATACTTGTTCACGACCCAATAGGAACTCAAATTCGTTTCCTCGGTCGCGGCTAGAGTCGAAGGTTTCGCCATTTTCCAACGTCCCAACATAATGCACCTATAAACAGCAAATCTTCTATCAGCGCAACCCTAACCTCTGCACGAAAAAGAAACAACGTTCGTCGATGGAACTTCTTTACGATGTTCGCATTGGGAAATTATATGTGCAGTCATCAATGCACTAAAAATACACTACAGCCTTGCTTAGGCATTGTTCACAGTTTGCGACCGACGAAACGGCGGTTGGGAGAAAAGCAAAAAATAGTCATCGATCGGAGAATCGCCAACCGCTAGTTTCGCCGAACCGCCGCGGTTCGGCGGTTGGGCGAAAAGCAATAGATGTGTATCGATTTCGCTGGCGAAAAACGCCACGGCGATCGAGCTAGCGTTTCGTCGAAGGCGAAAAACGTCGCGGTTTGGCGAAACGCCCGTCGATTCGTATCAAAACCCTTTCGCCCAACCGCCAGTCGATACGTATCGAAAGCTTTTCGCCGAACCGCCGCGTTCCAGAGAAACGCTGGACCGCAGACTGTGAACAATGCCTTAGGCTTCTTTCATACTTTGCGTCATATGTGCGCCGGCTGTGGCGTCACGTACACTACAATCGCTGCCGCTGACACACAACATGAACGCAGCCTTATAAGTTGCCGCTGAGCTCTCTATAACAGATATTCGGATGACTGGTAACTTCAGCAAACATAACTGTTGATTATCCGTCGACCACGGAGTTGTATCTCTGTTAATAAAACAGAAATGGTAATTAACGTGACCATACTCTTCCTCATAGAGGATATGTGTCCCCTGGCGCGCAATGGCCTTTCCTCCTTCCCTCCCCGTAGATGGACGTTGGGGAACATTATTTTGGAATTTCTATCACATACAAACATATCATATTTTGGAATCACATAAAGATGCGTCCTTGTTGAACTCCCCTCAGAAAACAAGAAGCATAGACGATCTCATGATGGTAGGTATATACGTCTGGAACGTACGGCTAGCCAGTAAGTCTAGATTAAGACCGAAAGGAACGGGGTCCCCTTCGTTTTGGCGCATGCATGGCAGAATTGTCAACCAGCCACATGGCTTTGTACAATCTGGTGCAAACAAGTACAACCAACACTCGATATTTTATAATGCGCAGTGCCATCGATCGGCCAATTCAGGATGCACGCCCTGCAAACGGGACGCACCAGATCGTTTAAAAACAGAGTAAGGCTTCCCTTCTCCTACCCAGTTTCTTAGGGAGGGGGTAATATAGCACTGACAAGAAATGATGAAAGAAGAGAAGAAACTCATACAGAAGAAACCAGAAAGGAGAAAGAATTTTTCAACTAGGACGACCCTTCCTCACACTCATTTGGAAAACTCAGCAATGATAGGGTCTGAAAAGAGATGGTCCCTCAGTCAGCACAGTAGTACGGCTAAGCGCTACCCCTTGCTGGCAAATAACGCTCATATCTCTCCACCCAGCTGTCAAAAATCGCCGAAAAAAAGCAAAAACCACTCTTAGAAGTAACAAAACTTACCTTGACGGTTGTTCCAGGAGTTGGCTTGGCTGTTCCAGTTCCTTCCTTTTTGATTGTCTTCAGAACACCACCATCCTATATAGAAGAAGTTAGTTGCAATATGAAATTGAGCGGAAACCTTTATACAGACTTGTTCGCAGCGGATGCTCGGGCGTGTAAGGATGCAACGTTTGGCGTGGTGCCAGCCAGCTTCCCATCAGTTGTTGTCGCTGGCCCTCTCCAACGATTCATTGAGTGCTTACTGCAACCGCGCCAAACCCAGCCCCACCTGACACGTCCCGGCATCGCAGCGAATAAGGCTCTAAAACTTTCTCAACTTCAGAAACTCCACCTTCTTCACGGTAATATCAATCGGCTCAACAGCAGCCATGGCGAAAGTATCAAATGTAAGATCTGGAAGTTAGAAGTTTAAGCGTTCGTGCTCCTACGCGAAAATAAAACAAGTTCGATGACGCGTGATTGTTTGCAGAAACCATAATTGGCTGAGTTCGGCGACAAGGGGTGGGGAGACATTTTGCATCTTCGCTCGTCCACCAGTACCGGTACAAGTCCCACACCGGTGCCACCTGTAAACTCTTGTGAAACTGGAACAAGCTCGTCAAGCCATCATAGTAAAACCTGCCAACTCTTGTAGGTTCATGAAGTAGTTCTCTCGATGGCTCGAGGTCGATGGGAAGTAGCAAACGTGCGAAATGCCCCCTCTCCGGCGCCGAACTGCGCCACAATAATTTCTTCAAGTGGAGAGTCAAGAACAACAAGACCAAGAATAAGAATCAAAAAAAACTGCGATGTACTCACTCACAGTCTACTAGGAAACCAGCTTATCCGTGAGGACAAAAAACCCACAAAGAGCTCCATTCCCAACATTTTAGGCAAGTTCTTACTATCTTTTGCCTTGCAAAAATATACACTGCGAAGCATAATTATAGTTCCACCCATGAATCTTACAAAATCCCGTCTTGCAGTCTTACAAAATCCCGACTTACACGACGTTTTCAAAAATGCCCCGTACAAAAAATGTGGTAATTACCAATACCAATTCGCATGCCAACAACAAACACTAACTTGAAAAAACAATTTTTTTTCGTCAATTTTTTCAAAAATGGTCGTTCTGACAACGCAGCAAAATGATAGTTCCACCGAACAAATCGAATATTCCAACAACAAGTGTACAATAAAATGAATAAATTTTGATCCAGTAATCTATTGGAACTCTATTTCTCCAATTAAGTTGGAAAATACGGTTGCCCATGTTCGATTAGAGATTTTAATAGGCTTTCGGCCGACTGCCCCAATGATTAACTCCCTAAGCTCACGGACATTGTGGAATTGTGCATTACTCTCATGGATCATACGCACCATGAAGCCCCTCACATCCTCGATTGGGTTTTAGTCGGGGCTACTCGCTGGCCAGGGCAAAAGAGCGGTTTGGTGACGACTGAACCACTCGAGTGCTTCGACTGTCATGAACTGGTGCATTATCTTGCATGAACGGGACTTTCTTGCTGATTTCTACGCCAGAAAGCAAGGAGACGTCGTCGCATGACTTTTAGATGACGGAAGAAATCATTTCTTTTTTCATACGGAGCGCAGTTTCAGACGTTCCATTCATGCGATGGCAGCCCAGACCATGATCCACTGAAGTTCCGCCCGGAAAAATGAAACTTGTCTTCCCTCAGGTCGTGCCAGCGGAAAAGGTTTTCGTCGAGCAGTTGCATTTTTTATCGCAAAACACGATCGCGAGAAAAAACTGAAAAAAAAACACTACAGACAAGCAGTAGGGCACCGCAGCCAAAAGCCAACCTCACCCCATTGGGTTCGGCAACATCTTCGAGCAAAGCCAATTAGGTTTTCGCGATTTTTTGTTAGAAACAGTACGTAACTCATATTCCTCCTATGGGTGAACTCGGGAGTTTTCCAAGACACGCCTAACAGTATCCTCCGAGACATTAACCTGCGAAGATGACTTTCCCGACACGACACTGCAGAGTTGGATGCTTTCCTAAGGTTATTCCGATCCGGCAGCAAAGGAGGATGTCCAGAGCTCTTCTCAGCTCAATCCTGTAGGTCCTTGGAAAAAATTGTTGATAGCATGATGAGTGCGGCCCGAATCCCGCGCGATTCGACGGTTCGACAGTTTTTGAGTCTTCTTTGCGATAATCTGTCCTTTTTCGAGGTCCATTAATGAAGTTCCACTTGCCATAGCCTAGAAGAGGCAAGAAGTCATAATGATGAGAAGTTTCACCGAACAAAAATGAGATGCAGCCGGAAAATATGCGGTGGAACTATATTTTTGCTGCGTTGTCAGAACGACCATTTTTGAAAAAATTGACGAAAAAAATTGTTTTTTCAAGCTAGAGTTTGGTGTTGGCATGCGAATTGGTATTGGTAATTACCACATTTTCTGTATGGGGCATTTTTGAAAACGTCGTGTAAGACGGGATTTTGTGAGATTCATGGGTGGAGCCTATGGTTATGCTTCGCAAGTTATGGACGACGTCAGCTTATTAGCTGCTGTTAAATCTGTAAAAGCGATTCTGAACATGAGCACCTATCAACTATTGATAATACCCTGCGGACGGGGCGGAGGAGGCAATCTCGGGTTGGTCCGCATGAATCAACAACAATCATTGCCAGCGCAAATCACCTTCAACAAAGGTTATCAGGACGGCGCCGACGAAGAGGAGACAATCCGTTACATCAATTTTTCACTAGATAAAGGCGGCGCCTGACCCAGCTTGCGCTTGGACAAGCCTCTCACTAGGGAGGTCGTTCAGGACGTGGAGCGCTTTTTGAAAACGGTTTTTTGCATGATGTGGGGTCACGTGCATGGAGTACCAAACTGGTGTTCATTTTCCTGAACGCCTCTGGAATGCCAAAAAATGGAGTGAAAAAGAAGTCCATGGAAACCGACTTTTTGAGCCTGAATGGGCTCTAAATCACTCGCAAGTTCGGCCAGTTGCTGCCTATAGGGTCCTTATAAAGGTTTACTGGTATCGATGAGAAAGTAGTCGCCAATGGTCTTCTTTTGGCACGTAGTTAAAGTCGACGGTAGTTGGAATGGTCTCTTGAGCATCACAGTGTAGCCTGCGCCAACGATCGATGCGCCTTAGTGTAGCCGTGGAGGATTGTCAATAAATGCAGTGTGGATGGGAGATGATGTTCGACTCCCTCGCTTGCCTCGTTTTTGCATTTCGAATCGTTGTCGTCTTCATATACGACTGTTAATGAATTTTACTCCATTTATATGCACACCTAAATAGTTATACCTCTGCCGTAGTCGTGCTTGTCGGCCAATTTCAAAACTTCAGCATACCATCAAGCAAAAGCTTGTCTGAAAGTTGACTTATATGCTAATTCGTGCCGATCACGACTATGGCATTGACTTTCAGCTCTAGTGCTATTTATCCCCAACTTGGAGCACGTCTTTCTCCCACTGGAGTCGCTATGTACATTCGTTTGAGGGACTTGCAGGCCTTCTGACGCCAGATTGGATTGGCGTCAAGAATAAGTGTCAGAATCGTGATCAGGACCATCGATACCCTAGATGGGAAACTTTCAGCCAACGAAAATTTTTCTTGACTTTTTGAGTTCTGTGCGATGAGGTTATTGCAAGCTTCGTACTATTTGTGGATCTATCGAACATCTCATTCAGTGGTAGGAGCAAAAAACTAGCTTACAACCATAACACCATCGAAAAGAACATCAAATAGTGCATATCTCCTCCGGTGATTTGAAAAAAGTGAAGAAATCGGATAGCTATCATTCTTGGGTAGGTGCCGACGACATTCTGTTGAGCGAGCCGTCCGGGGCGACATAATCCAGGTTGCGTTTTTCACTTGTTTCTTGGACCACACCATGCCCTATCAAGTATGAATGACCTTATGAGCTACAATATTCCGCGACTACGGCTGCCGGCCGAGCCACACATCCATCGCACTTTTATCCGCGCCCAAAGTTGTGGGGTCTCCGGTCACCACTGGTCGACCAAATGGTCGTTATCACAACACAAAGTCAAAAAAAATTTTTTGGCCGAAAGTTTGCCTATAGGGGTAATCGATGGTCCTGATCACGATTCTGACACTTATTCTTGACGTCAACCCAATCTGGCGTCAGAATGGCCCTGCAAGTCCCTCAAACGAATGTACATAGCGACTCCAGTGGGAGAAAGACGTGGCTCCAAATTGGGGATAAATGGCACTAGAGCTGAAAGTCAATGCCATAGTCGTGATCAGGGCACCGAATAACATATAAAGTTCAACTTTCAGACAAATTGCGAATGGATGTAAGTTGAAATGTGATAGCACCGACTACGGGGTATAACTATTTAGGATGTGCCTATAAATGGCAGATATCCGAGTAAAATTCATTAACAGACGTATATGGAAGCGACAACAACGGAAAATAAAAAATGCAAAAACGTGCAAGCCGAGGGGAGTCGAACCATCATCCCCATCCCCACCGTCTGCTTGAGAATCCTCCACGCTATCCACTAGGCCATCCGATCGTTGGCGCAGCTACCACTTCGATTGCTTAAGAGCCCATCCAACTAGCCGTCGACTCTTAACTACGTGCCACAGTAAGGGACCCCCCCCACTAGCGACTTCTTTTCTCATCGATACCAATTACAACATTATAAGACCTATAGGACAACTGCCAAGTGCGAGTATTTAGAGCCGTTTCAAGGCTGGTGAACAGTCGGTTTCCGATTGGACTTCTTTTCACTCCATCTTCTCGGCATTCCCAAGAGGCATTCAAGGAAAAAATGAACACCAGTTTTACTCCATGCCGCGCCCACATCAGCCCCAAACAACCGTTTTAAAGCGTCCACGTCCCTAACACCTCCTACGTCAGAGCAGACACAGTCGCGTTGCGGCATTCGTACTCCATCCTACCCCTACCCCCCCCCTCCCTCGGACCACGGCGGAGCCGCCTTGATGGTACCTTCTAGAACTTTGGCTGTGTCTTTTGCTGCGTTTGGGTGGAAATGAAAACAAGATGACAAGAACAAGTAAGAAGAATGACAAGATTCGCTGCCTGTCAATAGTCCTGACTCTCTGACAACCGAAAAAGGCTCATTCCGACTCAGACATGAACAACACAACAATGTGGATTGCTTTTGACTGAATATGCTCCTAATATAGTATTGAAGGAGAACAGAAATACTTGCTGGCATGGGCTCGTTCATCAAAAATGGACAAGTTTGGATTTATGCCCGCCGCAACACCAAACAACAACTGAGCACTCCGGGGTAACTGGAAAGAGAACACCTGTAGGGGCGGTCCAAATGAGTACATGTCAGGAATACAACTTACGACGGCTCCAGTGAAACAACCTTAGAGGCTGTGGGCCAAACTACTTGGACATGGA